CCCACTGGATGAAGAAGGGTTGGCTCTCCACAGAACATAAAATATTCATTTTATTTTATTTTTCGTGTTCGCATTTATGAGGAAAAAACAATGTGGACGTGACCGCTCTGAAGCGGCACTAAAAGACTGTTTTAAAACTTTCACAGAGACCTCAAACAGAAGACACAAAGCCTTTCTTTAAAGTGAATTTCGATTTGTACTAATTGTATCTTATTTTTAATCAATGTTTCATCAACCTGGATTTAATAAATAAGAAGTAAATATAGCAGACAAGATAATCACGACACGGAGGCGCCGGCGCGTGAACTGGAGCGCGTCTCATAAATTAACCGAAACTCAGCGTATAAGGTAGCCTACTTCACAGACCTGAAAAATATATCTATATTGAAATGTCTACTTGTAAACAGAACAATTCAAAACAAAAGAAAACGGACTGCTCTCTGCTTATCTGTATGAAATGTGCATTTCTCTCTGGCGCATTCACTAGCCTACTGCGAAGATCGCGAGCCAGCAACGTCAACTTCATGTTTATTAATAAACAATTAGCCTACTTCTTGCGATGCTATTTACACATTTGTGTTACACGTCTAATGGCCCAATGACGCTACGATGAGCATTTACTAGTTTTAAAAAATGCGGGTCAGGAAGCGGGTCGGGTACAGTATTTTCTTTCTTTTTTTTTGCGGTCCGAGTTGCGGGCGGGTTAGTTGAAAATGTCGGTCGGGTGCGGGTTGTTTATACATTGACCCGCGCATCACTGGTAATTATAACACTGATCAGAATATCGACTTAAGCATGCACTTTTGACTTGGACAAGTAAGCAACCCTGCCATAACCCCCTAGCAACCCCATAGCAACCACCCAAAACACCTTAGATACAGCATAGCAACATGCTTAAAGCACTTAGAACACTCTAGCAACCGTATAGCAACACACTGGCAACCACCCATCTCAGCATTTTGTCAGAGTTTTGCACAAGAAATCAGAAAGTGGAAAAAAAAATCGTATTTATTATTATATAATTTTACCTTAAAGAAAAGAAACCAGTAACAGCCGAGTACAAAAAAACTGAGCGAGTGAGATTGTCTGTATGCAAACCAGCACGGAAACAAAACTATGACTAATGTAAATAAGGTTCGGCCATAAGCACACACGCACACAAGTTCCTCTTGCCAGCCAGGCTGCTTCAGGTACCAGAGTCAACAAAACAAATATTTGACTGAGGCAGAGTTGCCACAGAAACAAATCCTCACCTCTGACCCACCCTGCCCATATAGGATCTGGCATCCCAACAAACTCAGTCCTCAATAACCCCCGCCAACAGTACTCGATATACCATATTCATGGATCACAAAATTTAGTGCATACTTCAATTAGCCTAAAAAAAAAACATACTACCTCCATGATAATACTGGGTCATGGAACATGATCAAAAAAATAATTTTTTTGGTGGCTTCGATGGAATACAATTTATGTGAGCTTTTACCTACATTTTTGTGTGCGGATCATTTTTCTCTTCTTTCTTTCAGGGCTCGACAATAAGGACTGCCCGATGGCCCGGGGCCAGCGTGAAAGACGCTCGGGACAGTTGATGGAATTGTCACGTGCCCGATCATCACGAGAAAAACCTTGCAAGCTGTTTTGTGCAAACACACAGAGAGCCGAGCCTTCTGAGTACTGAATAGAGTTCTCTTTCGCGTCTTCTTGCAATGGATTAAAAAACCCACAACAAAAGTATGTCAAAATGCCCATCTTGGCAAGTATTCATATAAATAACTGTCGGTTATGTCTTAATTACAGATCAATAAAAACGGATGAGAAGGAAAACACGTGTCAGAGCCATTGTTTTTCAACGGCTTTGGCATGTGTAACAGTATATTGGATCTGTGCATTTAGTCTTAAAGTGACAGCAGCCAAATATTCCTGCTGCCGAAAATCAAGTTCTTAATGTTGTTTATACTGCATGTCTATGTGGTGTTTTTAATATGCTTTAGGACAAACCATGTGTGAATTCATAAGTCAACACCATTGCTGAGTACTCCTAAAAACTGCAGTGAACCAAAGACAGTCTCAAAAACGCGGTTTGAAATCGCTGGTGTTTCTGACGTCACAAACTACCTTGTAACCAATCACATCATGTGCTGCCGGGCTTTAGCATATCATTAACCGCTGCAAAGCAGGGGAGTCTCAAGAGAAGCCAGGTTATATGTTTCTGTTGATATGAAAAAGTAGGTACATTTAGCAATATAGCGGGTGAATTATATAATGTGTATTATGATGTTACGATGAACTTGATGCCTTTCTCCACTGACGTTCAAAGTTGTTCAAAGTGTTTCTAAAGGCCTGTTCACACCGGGACGAATTTCCTGCGCGATATTCGCCGACGTTTAACGCCTCGTGACTAAACAAAGGGCGCCAATGTGAGTGTGCACACCGACGCGGAAAACACCACGCACAAATTTTTTTTAAACGCCTCGGGTTCGTATTTTTTGTTTGACGCGCCACGTCAAAAACTATCTGACCAATGAGATTGGCGCTTTTGCTCACGTGTCTGGAGCTTCTGAAGTTACAGTAAAACACAACTTGGGGGCGCTCAAACACAAAACGGTCTTGCTGAGCACACATACGTAACGGCGAAGAAGATATACGCCAAGTAGCGTCCCGGTGTGTACGAGCCTTAAGGATGTTGATTTTTAGAAGGCAGCTGTCTGACTTTGAGATGGCGAACGGGAACATTTATGTAACATTAGCAACACATTATTAGCTTTTTGATAACAGTCAAAGAAAATGCTAATCATATTAATTACCGTTGTGCCCAACGTTGTAAAGAGGGATCTCTGAGCTGGGTGAGTGAGTGGAGGCGGGGCTAATTAGCATATTCATGATTCCATGTATATTAAATAAAGCAAGGGTCTAGAGTAACATTCAAGCTATTTTAAGGCATGAATTTAAAAAAAATTCACAGGAACAAACATTTAAATATGCCATTTTGGTGATCAAAGATGGGTTTTAAGGAATACAATTGACTACAGGACAAAAGACAGTGAAAATCACTCAATTCTCTTGAAAAATTACTTTAGTAGCTTTAACTAGGAATAATCTATATTCATACAGTGAAGATGCAGTGTTTACATTTGATTAATCAATTTTTGTGCCTGAATACTATTAGACTTATTTCATTTGTATCTTTGTTCTGTTATATTTAATTAAACTGTTGCTTCTAATTTGTTTATTTGTTCTTATTTTTTTTTACTAAAGTCTCGCTTGTCCTCAATAATGTATTTTAAGGCTGCAGTCCGTAACTTTTTTGGGTTAAAAATTATCCAAAATAAATTTGAGCAAGTACATAACCAGCCAGGGTTCAAAACTCTCTGCTTGCCTTAGCTCGATTCAAAGCGGTAAGCTTGTAATAATGTTTTTAATGTCAGTGGTACTGGTGGATTTCCGCGGGAGATTCGAGCATGTCATTGCGTCATTACGTCACATCTGTACACATAAAGAAGGAGTCTCGGCTAGTATAAGCTATATTGAGGATGCTGGAGGTGGAGATTTATAGCCTTTTCTCACAGCACTTGATATAATTAAACATTAATTTAATGGCGGATCCAGAAAGGTTCAAACGACAATCACCAGTGACAATTAGCGATTCACCGGTTGTAAAATGTAAAAGACTTCGAACTTCGGAGTGGCTACCGAAAAAAAGAGACTGCAACAGGTCCCATGCGAAAACAAGGATAAATAACGAAAGGGCATTACATGTAGTCACGCAATGCTGATGCTGTTAACATTAACAATTTGAGAACAAAGTATAATTTGCACGGTTTGACGTGATATGATAAGCGATCGTTAGATTTAATCAGCGCGATTTACGGCAATGCTTTTTTCCCCTTAGTTGGTCAGAACAAAAGTGGATGTTACTTACTTGTTCAGATGACATTTTCTGGTGAAAATTCTTATGCTGGTCATACTTCCAAAAAGTAGAATCTGTGATTCTGAATGCCAGTATCCACACCGACGCGGCGACTGACAGCCGCACATTCTCCTAAAACATTGGATTTATCCGCGCTGTGCCGTGCCGAGGCATAACCCACGTAAAGTTGATAATTAAATAAAAAGCTGCAATTGCAGATTTCAAACAGAGATGGCGACAAAGAGGAAAAACTATGGACTGCAGCTTTAAATTAGCTAGGCTAGTATTTACTGTGGTATGGAAATTGGAATCAATCAAGAATTGTGAAATCCTGAAAAAAATTCTTGTCATTGAGCCCCGTGTCATTACATCTGGATCGACACACCTAGACTTATAAACTAGTTTATTTACATTTTTGTATGTTTTGGTGATTGGCGCAACACTTGTTTATCGCATTGCTGGTACATACATAAAACATGGTAGTATTGGGTATATGTCTGAAAAACATGGTACATGTAAAAAAAAAATGGTAATAGGCCTACAATGATAACACAATGTATATGTCCAAAAACCATAGTATCAGGGTACACCATCAAAAAACACCTTTTGGTTAGTGTGGCTAAAGAATGGAAGGCAAATTCGGTCTATTTTTATTTTTCAATAAGTATTTGAAGATCAGCATCATCTCTCTCAACCCATCCCCCATCTTCCCATAGGCCCGTGACCCCCTCCAAGAGTCAGGTGACCACATCAGCTGTCCAACACTGTCTGCCCTCCTCTCTTCACTCTTACTATATGACTTTTGCTGCCTTTGGTGAGCACTTGTTGGATAATTCATTCACACACTCTATTATTACAGACGCCTTTAACTTCTGTATTATTCCTCTTTGGTGTAACAGTAAACAAAAGTTACTAATGTTCCTTATTGATACTGTGATCATCTTCTAAAAGAACTGAATCTGACATGGAGGTTTAAGATAAACTCCATTACGTAATGTCATTCCTATACACTTGTAGAGCAGTTGAATACAAGCTCATTAATGTCGCGTTAACTTCACACTCACATGAAGAAATATAAGCACACTCTTACCGCCTTTAGTTGATCCAGTCGGTCCTTCATCTTTCAATATGTTGTTTAACACTATCTACACAATAAAATAAATAAATAAATAATAGGTCAAAGTAAAATTAGACAGAAGAGTGAGCTGTAACAGTGCTTAGCGGATCGTGAAGTCTGAGTGTTTCCTCCTGAACTCCGAGTATTCCTGCTCCTCTCTTGTTATTCCACCAAAGGTCCATGCAATATGGCTGCTCTTCTCCAAACCAGTAGTTTTTTCCCCCTCTAAATCTATCCGCTCAGAGGATTAAAACAACAGTTGTGTTCAGTCTGCTTAATCTGTCTTCCTCCCTCTCCCTCTCTTTTCTCGTTATAATCGTTCTGAGAGAGCTGTCGTCTCACGCATGCTCTCTCTGTGTCTCACCTACATCACTGGCCGCGGTCACGCCCTGCATGCGCGCTCCTGCTGACACCTGTGTGCGTGTGTGTGTGTGTGTGTGTGTGTACTCAAAAACAAGTACCATCCATCTTTAAGTTCTAATAAATATAAAATTTGTTGATAATTATTCATTTGATGCTATAAACTAAGATCAAGTACGTGTTTCGATTTTCGTGCAGTTTTACTAGTAAATGACATGCATATTTGTGTGTCCATTTATAGCCTACATTATTTCCTTTTAAAATAATTTGGTAAATTCATGACATAATTTATTCTATAAAACCTATTTAGTTTGAAATCATTTATAGTAGGCTACATATTGTTTTGTTTTGTGTTTTGTTATCTTAAACCCCCATGTCATGTGGTGCAACTGTCCGGACAAATGAACAGACTAAGAAAACTATTTAAAATGTGTCTTAATAATAAAAAATTAAAAACTAAATACTATGGCATCATTTTAGGTTTAAAACCTTTCATGTAAACACATTTTATAGATATCAGTATAGTTTTAAAGCTGTTGAGATAATTGAAAAACTTTTGTCCGGGAATTTGTATATTCTCAAATGTCAGGGTGGCACAATGGCAAACATGGGTCTTTTATTATGTATTGACAAGGTAATAACAGTAAACATGATAATGCATCATCCAGAGGAGCCCAACTGATCCTTGTGGTAGTGAAAAGGTTTGTAGATCTCTCTCATATACTGGTCAAACCTGCTAATTTCAAGTATGGGACGGTTGGTACACTTTCCATGTCAGGTGGTACAACTGCAATTTATACATACAACTATTTGGTTGTACGGCCTGACATAAAAACAGTCAAAAAATGAATTTAAACACGTTGAAGTGTTATTTAACAACTGAAACTGGTTTAAACACATTGAAAAAAAATGCTTTACATCAGTTTTGAAGCTTTATTTGTCAGTGACCCAAATATAGACACCAGCTATTCCAATATTGACTAATCTGTTTCAGTTATACTGAATCCATTATATCACATTGCTTTTTGAGTATTAAAGGGCACAGATTCCACGTTTTGTGATAACTGACAGATAGGTTCGATAATAACTGAAATGCGTAATTAAAAAAAAGGCTTATTTTTATTAACTAATCTAATTATTATTATTTTTTTACTGTGATTCAGATACTAACTGTGCTTCTGACATGAAATAACATAGGCATATTTACTAGATTCTAATACTTACTGTAAGGAAACTTTTTCACGTCAAGACTTTTTGTCTTTACTGTGCAGTGTATCATGGGATATATATATCTGGAGTCAGAGATCATTGAGAATAGCCCACTTCACCACACATAAAGCACGAGAGCTGACATTCATTAACCCTCTGTCCTCTGTCAACAACAGCGAGAGGACGAGGAAGTGCAATCATACATCATTCACGGGTGTCTTTTTTATTATTAAACTTCACACAAACAAAATCAATGTAGGCTACAGTCAGAACTGCAATAATACATATATAGCCACATAGAAAAAGATAGGCGTACCAGGGGGTCGGCTAAACATTGTGTAAATATATTAAGGACTCATATAGAAACAGTTTGAATTGCTTTCTTATAATGTGAAAGAAAAATAGTCTTGATATATAGTTGATTTTTTTTTTTTCAATAAACAAAAACAAAGGTTATTGTGTTTTACATTAAAACGGGTATCTCAGCGATCACTGTCCTTCACGTGACGTCGCTGACGGTGATTTATTATTCTCGTCATCAGTGAAGTGAATCAAATGCAACGGACTGTAGTTTATTCCCAAACGCGACGGAATGTGTTTATGAATCATAGACAGTGAAACAATGTTTCACTATACCCTTCCTTCTGGTTTGTGAACCCTAGACTCCAAAGACTGACATGAGTAGCATGAATTAATATTTTCTGCTCTCTGGTGGCCAAATCGTAGTATTACGTAGTAGGCCTGAAGGAATTGCGTTACGTCATCAACGGAAACGCACCCGTTACTGATTATTTTACTACACTATTGTCCTTTCCTTTGTCATCAAAAACAAAACTACAAACTTCTTATACTGTTTGAAGGAGAATCTCGTATTACTTTATAGTAGCAATCGACGGCTATTGTGATAGAAACTGGTTACCAGTCCATGTTCACATTTTGCCTGGTCAGTCAACAGATATAAATTACCTTCCGCCTGGCAACAATTTATATTATAGCCTAGTACTACCAGATACATTTTAAATAAAAATCATTATAATAGATATTACATAAAGTTGCTTACATAACAGCAACGCTTGGTTTTATAACCGAAAAGGCTCTTAGACTTCAGTGTGATGAATACATTTATCATGGAATATAAACAAATGTTTGTATAATTAAAAGCATTTTATTTACTTTAAAAAAAAAGTGCCTAAATTGATTTTGGCCCGTCTCATCGCAGTCTTGACCTTCCTGACTGTAAGCAACCATAAACTATAATCATTTTAACATTAAAGGCAATTCAAATCTCACATTTAATAAATCATTTGTCTGATTAATTTGGAATTTTCACTTAACATTTATTGCATTTTTATAAGGTTAAACACTTTTCTTTTAACATTTGATGAAAACACTTCCATTATACTGGTTTTGAAAAGTGCCACATACTAACTTTTCTGCTAAAGACATTTCATGTTTATTGGCATAGCATTCATTTAAATACGAGCAACTATTCCAATAGCACATAAAAATGACAAACTTATTACAAGGAAATCCCATAATTACTTTACAATAGGAATGGATATGAAAGTAACACAGCTTGAAAGGCTTGGTGTAAAACCACATCAGACCTTAAACTAAATGAATGCGGTTTTATTTTTGACAATGGATAGATCTTGGACTCAGAAGCAATTCACAATCCACTGCATAACTCGCAGTATTTAAACATCACAACCAGTGACCAGAAACATGCCATTTTAGACCTTTCAAGCATTATGATGCACCATTGTCTCCGCAAACCCAGAGAAACATCCAGAGCCACGTATCCTGAAACAGCCTTAACATGTAAAAAAGGATTCACCATTGACAAGTAGCCCACTACAGTTTCATCATTTGCTTTAACAGTTATATTTTTTCGTAAGAAAAGACCAAGCAAGGATTATTATATCGAGAATGTTTTTATTCCAAGAATTCCTCTAAGTGCTTAGAGCTTTACATAGAGAAGTAAGCACTGGGACACTCGACCTGCTCACACCGTTGAGCGCGCGAGTGTGTCAGTGTAGGCATGTCTGCATGTGTGTGTCTGTCTGGTGGTAACAGTTAGCATGTCTACAATGAAATGAACCACACAATTTACTCAAATTCAAAACACAAAACAAACCAAAAATTGAAAAATAAAAATATTCTGCGCTGGGAGTTACAGTAAAAGGGGCAGGGAGAGGAACCATCACTGGAAAATCGCAGTGACATTGCCACAAGGAGGTCAGAGGGGTTAACAGGTTAAAGGTCGTCATCTTCATCTGGGAGAGCTGTTTCTGATGCCACCTAGAAGAGACAAACATTACAGATTAAACACTTTTTGGGGGGGGGGGGGGGGGGGCAGAAGTAACTGACGGGTCACCTGAGTGTACACTTACTTTCAAGTCATGCTCATACTGTGCAGCAAGTGATGGGTCCATAGCAATTTCAGGTGGTGCAAGGGCTGGCATCTCAACAAACTCCAGATTAGGATCTCCAATCAGTTTCCGTGCAAGCCAAAGGAAGGGCTTCTCAAAGTTATAATTACTCTTGGCAGAGATGTCATAGTACTGAGAAAAGGAAGAATCTCATTAATGGTCTATAACAGCGTGACACGCAGTCTTTACTACAGCACATCTGAGTGAAACCGGACCACAGGGGAAATGTGAGGGTGACCATTTTAAAACTCATCTTTTCTTCCATATTGTGATGCATTAGGATTAGGTTCAATTGATTGGATTTTGATGCATTGCACTCAAAAGTGGAGGCAGATGAATGTGAGCTTGCAGAGACTGGGTTTAAGCGACTAAGTGATTGGAGAAGTCCTGCATGTGTCACCGGAGAGACATTGTAAATAAACAAACTCAAAACTGCATTAATGAAATGGGCATGGATGAACTGTTTACAATAACACGCATTTAGATCACAGATGGGGTGAATTATTTCATGTCGACTTTGAGTTCAAAAGGTTCACTGTACCTGTAGATTCTTCTTACGATGGAAAACAATACTCTTTGCTTTGACCTTCCTGTCCTTGATGTCCACTTTGTTACCGCACAGCACTATGGGAATGTTCTCGCACACACGCACCAAGTCACGATGCCAGTTGGGCACGTTTTTATAGGTCACTCGAGAAGTTACATCAAACATGATGATTGCACACTGAGCTATAGAGGGAGACAGATACACATGTTAAACCACTGCTGTACAGTAAGTGGCCGAAAAGTGTACATGTGGTAAACGGCAACATACCCTGGATGTAATATCCATCTCTCAGGCCTCCGAACTTCTCTTGTCCGGCTGTGTCCCATACGTTATATTTGATGGCTCCTCTGTTTGTGTGGAAGACCAGGGGATGTACCTCAACTCCAAGTGTGGCTAAGACGACACAAAGAAACATTTAAGAGCTGCTCATCGCTGTGACTGTCGCACCAAAGCCACACATTCCTCCAGAATAGTTGCGTTGAGATGCCACAATAATGAAATGAGCAAAGACTCCAAAAGACTTACCAACATATTTCTTTTCAAACTCCCCAGTCAAATGTCTCTTCACAAAGGTGGTTTTCCCCGTACCTCCGTCTCCAACCAGAACCAGCTGTGGATGGGAAAGAGTTTGCATGAGTGAGCAACACTTTCCAAGCAACCAGTATTACAATAGCTGACACAATAGATTTTTTTTAATTCCAGAATCGATACTAATACAAAATCAATTACTTTATTTTTGTCCTTGCTTATAGAAAAGGTTGGCAGAAGTTAGCCACTTTTGTTCCAACAGAGAATGAAATAAGTAT